CAGTATTAGAGTAATTGGGAAACTAATTTTCATTACAGATAACATCAAACAAAAACGTGGGTACACTTTCAGTTATTGTGAAAACTTTCATCATCACCTTTCAATGCCTTAGCTTTGAAATGTAAATGTTTATACATATTCAGATTGAGTTATCTTTCTAAAATGTGTATAGTATGCCAAGTTATTTAGCTACATGTATTTACCACAACAGCATGGAGAAAGTCAAGAGGAAGCAGTGGAGTGAGGTGGACATGTTCCATGCCATGGAGGACTACGGGGCAGGGATGTCTATCTGCCAGGCTGCCAAGGTTAGGCATCTTTTATTTTTAGGAGATTACCACGTGTATGTGAATTTTATCTGCTAGTAACAGTTTTCTTTTCTTATCTACCAAGGTGCATGGTGTACCTCGGCAGACCCTGGCGGACAGGCTGAGCGGCCGGGTGACCCATGGTTGTCGCAGTGGACCACCCACGTTGCTTGCACCAGAGGATGAAAATGATCTGGTGCAGTACTGTATCTACTGCGCCAGCCATGGGTTCCCCTTCACCAGACAGAGGCTGATGAAATACGCAGACAAAATACGCAGGTATTTGGTGTTCTATGTGTTTATGTATGTAGATTGCTGGACTGACTGTTCTCAATGTGTGTGATGTAAATGTGGTGATGCCAAAACAAACATTTTCATCCTGGATGGAAAGTTATATATTCTATTCTATTGTAGGTTTCGGCACCCAGGGGAAACAATCCCACCACTGAGGAAGAGGTGGTGGGAAATGTTCAGGAGGAGGCACAAGAACCTGAGCATGAGGAGGCCGGACACCCTGGACAGAGGGAGAGCTGAGTGTGCCACACGTCCGACGATGGACACCTTCTTCACTTCTTATGAGAAGCACTTGGAGGAGAGTAGGTTGGGGGAGAAACCCAGACAAATCTATAACTGCGATGAGTCTGGGTAGGCACAAAGTGCTGGCTCCCCGGGGCGCAAAACACGTGTACCAGCAGGCTCCGGGGACCAAGGAGCACATCACAGTGCTGGCCTGCTTCAACGCAGCTGGAGAGGACGTCCCCCTGTTTATCATCTACCCCAAGTGTTTCCCCGGTGGCCACTACACACTGGGATGCCCCCCCCCCCAAGCCTTGTATGGACGGTCAAACAGTGGCTACATTGACGGGGACCTGTTCAGGAAGTGGTTTCAGCACTTCATTAAGCATGCAGTGAAGGAGCGCCCTCTCCTTCTCCTCTTCGATGGGCACAAGAGCCACATGGACCCGGAAGTGCTCGCAGCGGCACTAAGGGAAGGGGTTATACTTCTTTGTCTTCTACCACACTGCACCCATGTGGCCTCTTCCCTTTTGACCCTTCAGCCATTGAAGGGTCCCGTTTAATGCCGTCTCGGTCCCTACCGGGTCCCACCGCCGCCTCTCCTGGAACCAGCAGCACTGTGCCGTCCATCAGCACCTCCTCCCCAGTGACAACAGGAGGGCCCTCAACCCCTGCTCCAGTCCCAGCCCCTGCTCCAGTCCCAGCCCTAGCTCTAGAAGAGCACCACCTTCTAGAGGGGGGGATGATAGCGAAGGACCTGGTGCACATCCTTACTGTTCTGAAGTACGGCTAGACCGATACAGAAGACTCCCTGTGGTCGCCACATGCCTCACCGGGGAGGAATACACGCGCCAGTGGCAGGAGAGGGGTGAGAAGGAGAGGGCCGAGGCAGAGGAGAAAGAGCGTTGGGCAGCCCTCAGAACACAGAGGGCACAGGAGAGGGCTGTCATGGATGAGACCATTGACGCCATCGCTTCTGCTGGACCCCCTGCTGGAACCACTCCTGACAGCTGCATCACCACTGCCAGTGCCTCCCAGTGTGCAACACCTGTAGGAGCCGCCGGAGTCCCCAGCTGCAGAAGAAGGCCACGTGCCTACTCTCCCGGCCACACCATCGTCGGCCCCTCAACCCCACCATTACAAACACCAGCTCCTCCAAGCCATCGTCGGCGGTTTTGTCCACCACCACCACGATGCACACCACCCCCCCGTCTGTCACCACCATCACGGCCTCCTCTGGACCAACTGCCTCTTCCGTCTCCCCTGGTCACACCACCATAGCAGCCTCGTCTGGTGTCCCTGCCCCCTGCAATTTGAATACAGCCACCTTAACACATGTTAAATTACGAAAAAAATGACTTATCTGTTTTATAAAACAGCAATGTAAAAAAAGAAAAATCTCTCTTTACATACACTAACGTTCAAAAGTTTGGGGTCACTTAGAAATGTCCTTGTTTTCGAAAGAAAAGCGATTTTTTTGTCCATTAAAATAACATCAAATTGATCAGAAATACAGTGTAGACATTGTTAATGTTGTAAATGGCTATTGTAGCTGGAAACGGCTGATTTTTAATGGAATATCTACATAGGTGTACAGAGGCTCATTATCAGCAACCATCAGTCCTGTGTTCCAATGGCACGTTGTGTTTGCTAATCCAAGTTTATCATTTTGAAAGGCTAATTGATCATTAGAAAACCCTTTTGAAATTATGTTAGCACAGCTAAAAACTGTTGTGCTGATTAAAGAAGCAATAAAACTGGCCTTCATGAGACTAGTTGAGTATCTGGAGCATCAGCAATTGTGGGTTCGATTACAGGCTCAAAATGGCCAGAAACAAATAACTTTCTTCTGAAACTCGTCAGTCTATTCTTGTTCTGAGAAATGAAGGCTATTCCATGCAAGAAATTGCCAAGAAACTGAAGATCTCGTACAACGCTGTGTTCCACTCCCTTCACAGAACAGCGCAAACTGGCTCTAACCAGAATAGAAGAGTGGGAGGCCCAGGTGCACAACTGAGCAAGAGGACAAATACATTAAAGTGTCTAGTTTGAGAAACAGACGCCTCACAGGTCCTCAACTGGCATCTTCATTCAATAGTACCCGCAAAACACCAGTCTCAACATCGACAGTGAAGAGGCGACTCCGGGATGCTGACCTTCTAGGCAGAGTGGCTTTAGAGTTGCAAAGAAAAAGCAATATCTCAGACTGGCCAATAAAAAGAAAAGATTAAGATGGGCAGTCTGAGATATGGCTTTTTCTTTGCAACTCTGCCTAGAAGGTCAGCATCCCTGAGTCGCCTCTTCACTGTTGACGTTGAGATTAGCAAACACAACGTGCCATTGGAACACAGAACTGATGGTTGCTGATAATGGGCCTCTGTACGTCTATGTAGATATTCCATGAAAAATCAGCCGTTTCCAGCTACAATAGCCATTTACAACATTAACAATGTCTACACTGTATTTCTGATCAATTTGATGTTATTTTAATGGACAAAAAAATTGCTTTTCTTTCGAAAACAACGACATTTCTAAGTGACCCCAAACTTTTGAAAAGTAGTGTATCTACAGTCCATAGCACCAGCCCTCACGTCATCTCCACCTCCTCCAAAGGTTCTGCAGCTTCCTCCAGAGGTATTGATGTAAAAAAGTTGAAAAGGGTTTTCATGAAACATGCTCTGTCTAACACTACTTTTTCTCAAACTGCAGCATAGAAAAGGAAGAGAAAAGCTTCACCGGTCACCTCTGTCACGCCACCCATGCACCACTCTCAGGTACTTTATCATCTGTTTTTCTCTCTCAGTTGTATCAATTACTATTGTTGTTGAAGAACTACATTTTGCAAAACCATGTTAATCAATTTGATTATTGTTTTATTTTATTTTTTATAAAAGAAGACACCACCTGCTGTGCTCACTGCGGGGAGCGTGATCAGCCTGCAAGCTCCCCTCAGGAGTGTAGATCCAAGTTGCCATGGGTGTGCTACGACTTCTGCCAGCACTGGTTCCACTGCAGGTGTGTGCAGTGGGATCCAGAGGTAGCGGTGGAGCTGGATTTTTTTATTGTGATTTTTGTGACAATATAGGGATGGAGGTGGATATTTAATTGTTTGTTTTGTTTGTGTTCATATGAAATTATTTATTTGTACAAAAAAAATACATGTCTAAAATATAATATATATATTTATTCAACCCATCTTGTGTATTTCTTCCTTTACTTTCCAAGTGCATCTCTGCAACACAAACTCCAACCCTGTTTTCATTGTTTATGTCAGTGCACATTACTGAAATTAAAGTTTTATTTGATTTAAATTATTCATACTCAATTATATTTTAGTATTAAACTGTTATATACTTTCTCAAAACATAAGATTAATCTGTAAAACAAATTATGAATCATTACTTGATTACAACACTGAATATGTTGGTGAATAACCATTTTTTAAGAGTCCACAGGAGGGCGCACCGGGATACACAATGAAAAGTTGACATGAAAGCCATTTTTTTTTACCGGAAGGCTAGCCAACTAGTCAACTATCTAGTAAACCCTTCAGATACGAGGTTGGTGTCTTTTTTGAACAAAATTTAACGTACTACTAATATAATAAGAAGAGACGTGATTATCAGAGGCAAACCCTGCCTCATGGTGACGTCACTCGCTCGGCTACTAGATAAATATGGGGCTCCGTACCGTGCACTGGATCAAACCGAAACTTCCCTTCATTGAGTGACCACGCTAACGAAAGGATTGGATTGCCTGGTTCAGGATTTTGGAATACCTCAGACGCACATCAAATGTAAGTTTGCTTATGGAATTGAATGATTTTGCAGTCGTGATAATCATTAATTATTCTATGGCAGTTTCAAAACATTTTAGTCCAACTTCAATTTTAACATTGCTCAATGCTCCATCAAACCTTAGTTAATACTATAGGATACAAGCACATTATTGTCTTAAATTAATTTGTTCAAATAAATATTACACAAAAGTTCATATAAGTTGCGGCCTAATAAAGGATTTTTAAAAAATCAACACCTAGACTAGGCATAGTGATGAGAAATGCATTATTTGTCAGTTGGCTGCTTTTCATGTTAACAGCAGAATCTTACTAAAGAGCACATCTATTTAACAGACAAAAAAGTAATGACTTTGAATTAAGGTGAGAAATTGCGGAACATGGACAAAAGGAGTGGGAGCATGCCGTTTCCAATGCACTTGCAGAACCTGCACAGAAGAAGTATGCCAGTGGACGACCGCGAGATGCGCAAGGCGCAAACTGGAGAGCTGTCCAAAGTCATGCGCTGCTCGTCCTACACCCCCGGTGAAGGTCACTGAGACAGCTGTGTATCGGACTCGTCCGATTCCGTTATCTCCTCCGGCAGCGACTCCGGGGGACAGGTGTACAAGGTGGTTCTCCTCGGCGAGCAGGGTGTCGGAAAGTCTAGCCTGGCACTTATTTTCGGTGGAGTCGAGGATGGTCACGACTGCGACGAGACAGGTGAGTGTCTGATGACCATTACTGATGATGATGGTGTTGAAGTTTGTATTGCATTAAGAATACACCACAAAGCAATACTTTTTTAAAACAAAGAAAATAACTGTTTGACTGTAGCTGTTCTCAGCACCCCATTAAAGCTAATGCACATAGGCTCCAAACTAAGTAAATATAGGATTGGTTTCCATATAATCTTGGCATACAGGCTGAAGAACATTGATTATTGCTTATTTCCATCCAGTCAGTAATGCGCCACACATATCAAAGTACTGCTGTTGACATATACAGCCACAGAGATAGTGGATGGGAGTTATGAAAATCAATGACTGAGGGAAGGAGACAGTAATGCACTGTAATACCCATCACATATATAGGTTAATTGAGAGTTAATAAGCTGTACTAAAGGCATGAAATGGGAAATAAAAATGGGCAATAGTGAGTGAGACCTCACACTTGACCCAGTTAGTGGGTTTATAACATTGTGGCCAGGAGTATTTATCTGTCTGCTTGCTTTTGTTTCAGGAAACACATATGACAGATCAATCGAAGTGGACGCGGAGGAGGCGTCCATCTTGTACGACATTTGGGAACAGGTGAGGCATATAATGCAAATTATGCAATTTCGGTTTGACCCTCAGTAAAATTGGTCTTAGTCATAGCATATAATTTGATGTACTGCGTAGTGCTCTATTGCTGATGTATAATATCATACAGTGGGGGGAAAAAGTATTTAGTCAGCCACCAATTGTGCAAATTCTCCCATTTAAAAAGATGAGAGAGGCCTGTAATTTTCATCATAGGTACACGTCAACTATGACAGACAAATTGAGGAAAAAAATTCCAGAAAATCACATTGTAGGATTTTTAATGAATTTATTTGCAAATTATGGTGGAAAATAAGTATTTGGTCACCTACAAACAAGCAAGATTTCTGGCTCTCACAGACCTGTAACTTCTTCTTTAAGAGGCTCCTCTGTCCTCCACACGTTACCTGTATTAATGGCACCTGTTTGAACTTGTTATCAGTATAAAAAACACCTGTCCACAACCTCAAACAGTCACACTCCAAACTCCACTATGGCCAAGACCAAAGAGCTGTCAAAGGACACCAGAAACAAAATTGTAGACCTGCACAAGGCTGGGAAGACTGAATCTGCAATAGGTAAGCAGCTTGGTTTGAAGAAATCAACTGTGGGAGCAATTATTAGGAAATGGAAGACATACAAGACCACTGATAATCTCCCTCGATCTGGGGCTCCACGCAAGATCTCACCCTGTGGGGTCAAAATGTTAACAAGAACGGTGAGCAAAAATCCCAGAACCACACGGGGGGACCTAGTGAATGACCTGCAGAGAGCTGGGACCAAAGTAACAAAGCCTACCATCAGTAAAACACTACGCCGCCAGGGACTCAAATCCTGCAGTGCCAGACGTGTCCCCCTGCTTAAGCCAGTACATGTCCAGGCCCGTCTGAAGTTTGCTAGAGTGCATTTGGATGATCCAGAAGAGGATTGGGAGAATGTCATATGGTCAGATGAAACCAAAATAGAACTTTTTGGTAAAAACTCAACTCGTCGTGTTTGGAGGACAAAGAATGCTGAGTTGCATCCAAAGAACACCATACCTACTGTGAAGCATGGGGGTGGAAACATCATGCTTTGGGGCTGTTTTTCTGCAAAGGGACCAGGACGACTGATCCGTGTAAAGGAAAGAATGAATGGGGCCATGTATCGTGAGATTTTGAGTGAAAACCTCCTTCCATCAGCAAGGGCATTGAAGATGAAACGTGGCTGGGTCTTTCAGCATGACAATGATCCCAAACACACCGCCCGGGCAACGAAGGAGTGGCTTCGTAAGAAGCATTTCAAGGTCCTGGAGTGGCCTAGCCAGTCTCCAGATCTCAACCCCATAGAAAATCTTTGGAGGGAGTTGAAAGTCCGTGTTGCCCAGCGACAGCCCCAAAACATCACTGCTCTAGAGGAGATCTGCATGGAGGAATGGGCCAAAATACCAGCAACAGTGTGTGAAAACCTTGTGAAGACTTACAGAAAACGTTTGACCTGTGTCATTGCCAACAAAGGGTATATAACAAAGTATTGAGAAACTTTTGTTATTGACCAAATACTTATTTTCCACCATAATTTACAAATAGATTCATTAAAAATCCTACAATGTGATTTTCTGGAATTCTTTTCCTAATTTGTCTGTTATAGTTGACGTGTACCTATGATGAAAATTACAGGCCTCTCTCATCTTTTTAAGTGGGAGAACATCCACAATTGGTGGCTGACTAAATACTTTTTTCCCCCACTGTATATCACTATAATAACTAATTTGAGCACCTGTAGCTTTTGATTAGATAAGCAATGTAACTAATCTAATTCTATTTCTCTTCGCCTTCAGGATAACAGTCAGTGGCTGAAGGAACAGTGCATGAGGATAGGTGACGCCTACATTATCATCTACTCAGTGACAGACAAGTCCAGCTTTGAGAAGGCGTCAGAGCTACGCATCCAGCTACGCAGAGCTCGCCAATCTGAGAACATTCCCATCATCCTTGTTGGTAATAAGAGCGATCTGGTGCGGTCCAGAGAAGTCTCTGTGGATGGTAAGTGACAGGGATCTTTGCCTAGTGCTACTTATTTTAGAATGACTGCTATAGTTAAAGCTAGTATAAAGGTGTTATGCAAAGGCATAATGATGAGGGTGAAGTCACTGTCCCCATGGAACACTATAGAGTCTCACCTGCGCCTCCCTTCCTTTTTTTGGCAGAGGGCAGCACCTGCCAATCAGGAACCTGTTCGAGGGCATCGTCCGGCAGATCCGACTGCGGAAAGACAGCAAGGAGGAGAACGCTCGCCGTATGGGCAAATGCAAACGACGCGAGAGCATCGGCAAGAAGGCCAAGCGTTTCCTGGGCCGTATGGTGGCCCGGAAGAACAAGAAGATGGCCTTCAGACAGAAGTCCAAGTCCTGCCATGACCTTTCGGTCCTCTGAGAGTATAGTATCTGGACTGCTGTGTGTTTTTAACACTAACCCCAAGGACTGATAGAGCTGTACAGAAATTATATATTTTATTATATTAATTAAATACAACAGACATGTCCATGATAATGATCTGTCTTTTGAAGTTTCCGTTTTTCTTGTTATTTTCAACCATGAGTTGTAAGATTGCCTTGATAATGGGGTACAGTGTGTTTGGTTCTACTCCATGTAGTGTTGGTCGTGTTGTATATAGCCCTCATGAAAGATTACATGATGGTACACTGTCCTGAAAAGCAATGGAACTGTAAGCACTATGAGGGATTTCACTGCATTCTGTCAACTGGAGTCATTTTCACTTGAAACTGGGTACGCAGGTTCGTACTTTGGCCATGATACTGAGGACAGGAATAATGTGTAATGGGGGTTAGGCCAGGTTTTGGAAAAAATATATGATTCTATTGTCCTAACCTTCAGTCAAGTTGTGAATGAAGAAAGCAATAATAAGTTATATTTGTCATGTGAATTTAATTTAAAGGCAATTAATTAGATCTTCAAAGAGGAATCGGTTCATTCCCTCCCTTTCAGTGTTTCTGTCACATCACGTCACGTCTATCTCTCTGTCTGGAGGGTATGTCTGTCTGTCCTTCTGTCTAGAGGGTATGTCTATCTGGAGGGTCTGTGAACAACTCAGCCAGAGGAGGTCCCACTCCCAACATGTGCAAGAAGCACTGAGTTACTAGTCTGAGGAAGAGTACTGTGATCAGGCTCTGTGACGTCCATAGTGACCATCTGGAACTCACGGGTGAACACAGAATAGCTTATCTTGTGTCTTCTCTCGGTTTTCAAGGTTGTTGTTTTTACCACATTCCAAAACACAATTTAATTGGGCGATGTTGCCAGCACAACAAAGGCAGAGTCTCGTAGTCCTCTGTAGCTCAGCTGGTAGAGCACGGCGCTTGTAACGCGAAGGTAGTGGGTTCGATCCCCGGGACCACCCATACACAAAAAAAATTATGCACGCATGACTGTAAGTCGCTTTGGATAAAAGCGTCTGCTAAATGGCATATTATTATTATTTTATCTAGTTGAAGGCCCAGATAACACAGTGGACCACCTGCTGGTGTTGTCTACTACAGAAAGTCATTATTCTGACTAAACTATCCGTTTTGTAGCCCAAGGCTGAAATGATGTTTGGTTGGTATAGTTGGTGGAGTTTTTCCTGAGGACATTGCTGTTCTATTAAGTCTACAATACAGTGTGCACCTTTATCGGCTATTCAAATGGACATGTCTGTCAAATAGACATTTCCCATTAGCTAGTAGACTGTCCTACCTGACAGACCTGTCAACCCTAAGTCTGATGGGACTCTAATGGGCTGCTCCTGGTTAGCTGTGGAGGGTAGTGTGTGAATAGGCCCTGTTGTCTTGCTGTAGTGCTGATGGAGCAGTGAGTTAATGAACACATTGTTAAGGGGTGTGGCTCGGCTAGCGTAAATGTCACTGCAGCACATTGCTTTCTGACCCTCATGTCCACACAGACCAGCTGTCCTTCTAGGTGTGCTGCTGGACATGATTGGCATCCTGCTAGTGTCTGAGAACTGGGCCTCAGACTTTGGACCTATACTCACACACAACAACACACCATCAGTGTGTGTCTGGCAAAGTGTGTGTGTGCATACCCATGTTGTTTCCTTTATGGCTCCTACTAAACGTGTGTTTTCTCCCTGCCAGCAGCAATATTCCAAACCGCTCCACCTTTTCATGCCCGTTCTGTGGAGCCCGCAATCTGGACCAACAGGAGCTGGTCAAACACTGTATGGAAAACCACCGCAACGATCCCAACAAAGTGGTCAGTCTGTTATGTTATACCCATTGTCAGTGTGATAAGCTTACAGATGGGTGACAGTCTAGACATGACCAGTTAAACAGAGAGGGAGGACATTCTCACATCCCCATCACGACAACAACACACACTAACATTTGCAAATCAAAACAAACTATCAAACTAACCCCTTTTGTATTCAGAGTTCTTGTGAATACTTGCACTTGTCACATTTTTCTACATAATTGAACTATAGATTGTTCTTATTTCATAGTTAAGAAACATAATTATAGTACTGCATTTAGTCTTCACTCTGCTGTTGCTCTGCTGATATTTTTATGAAGCACCAGACAAGATGAAATCTATTTTTGGAAAATGTTTCAGTTTCAAATGCTGTACTAATAATAAGAAACGTGTTTATTGGGGATGTGTTTGTTGTTTTACCACCTTTTTCAAAGGACCCATTGGTACTGTACTGCTGGCATCAAACAGTTGTTAGCAGGATCTTAGGGCCTATGTGTAATACACTGTCCCAAACACAAGAGGGCACCCCAGTCTCGAAATAGACCGGGCACAAGTCAAAAGTCATTCAAAGCCCAGTGTTCTTCAGTCAGTGTTACTCCAAGTCATCATGTTTATACCCATGCACAGTATTGTGAAAAAGGCCCATGTGTTGCCTAAATGTATGACCTGTTTTGGTTTAGAGTGA